TCTGAAAATAAACATATTCTGCACCTTCCAGTATATACCAGGTTTCTCATAAATATTGGATAACTGAAGTTATACGAGAACAGTGAAGAAACAAATTTAAATTATGAACATGCCACAAAGCCTATTTACATATTATAAATTGTTAAAGACTATAATGAGAATGACTTACATAAGAACTGTTTTCACTATCATTTAATCACTCTTGAGAGTTTTGAAGACACTTCAGAATCTCTGATCTGTTTAATGAGTAAAATCATCACCCTATTGAATACTACTCTGGAAGATGACATCAATACTTGCTCAGAAAAGAAATGCATGTTGAACTTATTCTTATTAAGTGATCCACTTGCATTAACTTGTTTGTCTTTGGGAAAGAACAGACATATGTTTATTTGATTATTTTGCTTACATGACTTCCATAGAAATGAGCACTTGCTAGGTGTTTGCTGATGGTGTATATAGTTATTGATTTCACATGTTTTTTTTTTCCTTTTGAAAAGTACTTTAAGACAGTCTTATTTTACACTGACTCCTATTAGAAGTTGCTAATGTGCGCACCAATGCATGAATGTTGGTTTAGATATTAAAAAAAAAAAAACCTTAGGGATATTAAAGACCTGAGATGAGTTGTTATTATATGGCTAAGGGTATGCTATGTCTCAAATTGCATTTAGGAAGCATAAAAATTACTTGCTAGAACATCCTGACACAGTTGGTTAGTCAGGTAGATCAGTCTTAGTGCTATCTCCCAATGCAGCTTTGAGAGGGTTCTTTTTGTGTTTCTTGCCATATTCCAATGCCTCTTGCTTAAACCTTTGAAAAAAGGAAACTCAGACAACAACAAAATGATAAGGTAACAAACTCAGAGCTCAGTGATATGTATGCTCCTTAATTTGTTTTTCACTTATTTCACATGGAACTTGGTTATGAATTACATTATTATATCCCTCGAGTTATATTAGTATTTCTCAAAACCAGTCTACTATCACATCAGCTATAAAATGATAATTCATAATCATCCATTATATACAAACAGCATCCAAAGATGTTAGTGGAATGGCTGAAACCAAACTCATGATGTAAGGATATCATACTGAAATTTGGACTTGGTTGACTGAATTGTAAATGGTGATTATATCAAATGCTGGCAAGGCTGTGGGGGAAGCTGAGTATCTCACACATTGCTGCTGGGAATAGGAATTCTGCAAATGCTCTGGAAAACTCCTTGTCCCTTTCTTATAAAACAAAGCTTGCACTATTTGACATATTAGTTATACTCTTGGGCATTTATCCCAGAGAAGTGGCAAGTTGTATCTATGCAAAAACCCCTACCCGCATGCTTCTGGAAGTTTTATTCATATAGAAAAGTAGTGATAATGAATGAAATATCCTTCAGTGAGTGAAAAGTTGAACAAATCTTGGCACACCCAAACAGTGACATACTACTCAGTGATAAAAAGAACTGTTAGTCCAGGCAGCAACTTGTTTGGAACTCAAAGACATTATTCTCAGTAAAAAAAAACAAAAGAGTGGAACTCAAGAGGGTATAGCTTATATCATAGCTGTATTTTTCATTTTTGAAATGACAAATTTATAGAGATGGAAAATAGATAAGTGGCAGTAGATTGGCAGGGGGCAGGAAATCTGGTGGACATGGCATAGAGGGTTCGTTTGTGACAGAAAAGATTCTGTGTCAGATATGGTGACATTGCACCACCTATAAAAGTGCATAGAAGTGACAGATATGCACATAGAGATGCAGGTTGGAAAAATCATGGAAATTGAATGAGGTCTGTAGACTGGCTCTCAGAAATGCACCAAGGTCAATTTCCTTCTTTGGGTGTTATACCCCAGCGATTTGAGATGTCACCATTGGAACCTGGGAACCTGGGACTTTAGCATTTTTGCGAATTCTTGTGAGTTAATACTGATTTCCAAATAAAAATGTTATGAGAAGTAATTATTTCACATTTATAAAACATTCAACATTTTAAAATAGAAATATCCCTTCACACAATTGACATTTCAAACAGCCTTGTTTTCAGAAGTTTACTGCTAAAAGTATTTAGCATGAAATGGTGATTTTTTATTATTATTTTAATGCAAGCGTTCAGTGTGTCCATTTGAAAAACTCTGATCTGTGAACATGAAAGATTCAACTTTGATCCTTTACTTTCCATTTTTCTCTTCTCCAAATGCCCTTTATTTGACCAGGGAGGATGTCATTTTCAAAAGTACTGGGAGAATCACATTTAACTTGAATAACATTGTTCTTTCAGATGATTAAGGTTGTTCAGTTTTCTCTGTTGGGTTGCTACCGTGAGTTGGAGCCTCTTCTGAAATGTCAGACAGAGAAAATGGTTAGTGGTTCCAAGACAATAAATAATAATAATAAAAAAAGCCAAGCTTTTGAATTAATGTAGTCAATAACCTTTGAAAACAAAGTTAAAAGGCAACAATTTGCTAAAATACAGAAAACTATCTTGTCCTTTTTTTTTGATTATCAGTGCTGCCGAAAAAATGGGGAATACAATAGAGTCTAATTCCAAAAGCACTTAGTCAGTACCTAAATCTTCATTCTCAGACCTTCTAAACACATTCATGTTATCCCAAACAGTGCAGGTTGTAATGATGAAATAGGGTGTCCATATTGTCAGTGAGATCTCAAGTTTGCGTCTGCATTATTGACGGATGCTCCAGGTTTTATACCATAGCACACTGGGTGAGAAGAAAGAAAGTGTCATGTAATGTTAGTGTGAGAAAACGGAAGATCCAACAGAGACAAAGGAAGAAACAACTTAGCCAGCTCAGGTGATAATAGAGTAGGTCTCTGGAGAAACACAGCGGGACCAGGAGAGAAATTGAGGGCTAGGGGACAAAATCCTACAGGCAAAGAAAGACGGGTAGGATTGCAGCCAGGCTAAAGAATCGAAATGTGTTCAGATTTGAAGACCCACATTAATTTTTCTTTTTTCTGAATTATTTCCTCTGGTGATTTGAGATAAAAATGCAGGGGGAAAAAATGGTAAAACAGAGCAACTCAGTTGTCACCTGTGTGGAATATACAGAAACAAAACAAAGTGTCAGATAGAGCCAAACTAATAACAAACCTTAGAATCTGAGCATAGATTCTAGGCTGCCAGAGAGAAAAGGGGACGAGGAGAGGAACAGAGGGGGAAAGAAGGAAGGTGACCATGGTGGCCGACTATGGGCATTTTATCGGTGGGTGTTGTGGTAAGAGCTCCCAAAGGAGCAATCCTATACCCGTAAGTCACAAGTGATGCTGTAAATCAGTGTTGTCTAAATATTTAAAAAAAAAAATGGAGAAAATGATATGGTGGAAATCATTTTTTTTCTTTTTGCTTTGTTGTTGGAAAATAAGTTTTGGGAATAATGAATATGATGTCATGCACTGCATGTCTGTATATAAAGAAAAGCCAGCATGAACTTTGCTGGGTGCTTGAAAATTTTTCATAAAATTTTAGAAAGAAATGCAAAAAAAAAAAAAAGAAAATATCAAAAGGACAACTAGAAATGTCAGAACCCCAGTAAATAAATAAATGGTTTCATTTCCTGAAATAATGTAGTAGGATCTTAGTCAGCCCATGTACCTCATAAAATTAAGAACATGTTACCAAAAACAAAGCCTTCAGTTGAACTCCTTGTGGTTTCCAGGTAAAAGATAACACAGCCAATGTCATCAAAAGTATCTCGGTACCCTTCTGCTCATTCGATGCTCTGTCACTAGCTGCATATCCTAGACATGTAATTGTTACCTACCTATGGACACAGGTGACACTAGGAAGACTAACTCTCAAGGGGTCTGATGACACAAAGCAGCTTGTGTCAGACCTAGAAGGCAACTTCAGAATGTGTAGTATTTGACAGAAACAAAATTATTCAGAACCAGCCACATAAATATGACAGTAATATTGGCCTGTAGTCATGAAAGCACTTTCTGTAATGTTTGTTCTTACTGTTGCTCTATTCTGTTTTAAATATTGTTTCCCACAAATAAATCTTAAAAAAAAAAAATATTGTTTCCTCTTGAAGTCAAATTAGAATTTTCAAATGAGTTTGATAAAGTTCATTGTTGAGGGAGTTGTCTTGCCTTTGAATTGCTGCAAGGACTCCTCCCAATTTCTACCCAGTTCCCAGGCCTGCTGCAGAGCTACAGAAGCCCAAAATGATGCCCTGGTAACGTCATGGCCTCTAAGCAGGGCCGAGGCTCAGAAACCCCAGACAAGCTGATATTGGTTCTTTTTTTAAAAGTTACATACAAAGAAAGTGTATCTGCCAAGCTCTTTTAGAAACAGGGTCAAATAACCAGGTGGAAAATTTTCTAAAGGTGTCACATTAAACTGGAATCATACCGGGCCCTCCCTGGTGACGCAGCGAGTTAAAGCACAGCACTGAGAAGCTAAAGCCACTTCCACATGAGTTCTATTCCTGCCTGCCCGGGAGGTAACCACATGGCCCAGCAGACCTCTCCTGGCCCGCCCACTGCTCCCCTCAGCAATGTACTTCGTTGATCTTCCTTTTTTGTTCCCCACTCTGTCTCTGGTGAAGCTTCTTGCCGCTCCTGAGCCTCTGACCTGTACCCCAGTTCTGTATGAACAAACAAATAAATCTTTAAAAAAAAAAAAAAACTTTAATCATACCTACATTTTTATAGAGCTTTTAGTTTTTCAAATTGCTTTCCCAGACTTTATCTCATTTCATGTTCTGTGGCCATGAGACAGCGTGGATGTAGGGCTGGAGACTGATGGTATGTATAGAGACCAAATTGTTGATGGGGACGTTTCAAGAAAATTGATGATAACTTTGCCAAACCAAAGTATTTAATGAGGAATGGACCTGCTTCAAGGTGAAGTTTTGTAAAGGGTTAAATACAGTTTAAAATGCTCTCCTGCTAGAGGAGAAAGAGAAGATGAGTGACTTCTTTGTTCTCCCCTCTATCCTTCTCCTTTCTGATGTTCTTCTTTGTTTCAATACAACAGGTCAGCCCAACGCCAGGCTGTATCCGGGCCCTCATGAAGATGCTGTACTGTCCATATTGTCGGGGCCTACCTGCCGTCAGGCCTTGCAGCAACTACTGCCTCAACGTCATGAAGGGCTGCTTGGCAAATCAGGCCGATCTGGACACAGAGTGGAATCTGTTTATAGGTAAGGCGCCTTTGCATATCGGCGACACCACTGACCACAATCTAGATACAGAACAGACCTGGGACTGCTAATGTCTGTGACGCTTGGTGGGCAGGTTCTCAACTGTGATGACTTGGAGAGACTTAGAGGATCAAAAGTCACAGCTGTCAGCACATTGTAAACGTTATTTGCATTTTTCTTCATTCTTTATCCTGAAAAATAAGGCCTCCTTGTATATGTGAAGGGTGGTCCTGTTAAAGGCAGTGTCCCGAATGAGCCGATTTCCTTGATAAAGATAAAAGTAATCCTGTTGAGTGCTTTGAGCCCGTACAAGAAGGAACAAGATGGAAAAGAATCTTGTTCAAACAAGTATTCATAGCACCATTTATTTGTATTATCGGCACATAGTCACAGATATTAGTGAACAACTGTTTCCTTAAACAGCCACCATGAGACAAGCTCGATATTTTTGTTAAAACATGCAGATTTGCTCTCCTCCATGGGTAGAAAAGTGGGCTCCTCCCACTCGCATGAAACAACCTTCTAGTCTTTAGAAGGCGGGAGGAGAGGGGGTGGGTGGAATGCAGGGAAGGGCTGTGAATCGTGGTTGTGTTCTTAAGATGCACAAATCACTCTGGGGGCCGCAACGCCAAAAAGATCTTTCCCAAAGAGCTCTCCAAGGATAAAGGGACACATTTTATAAACAGGCTTCTCCAAGCAAAATGCACTGGCCTTGAAAGAGTAAATGTGTTTTCTCCCCCTCTGTCAAGGGGCCTTCAAATAAAAGTACTTTCCATTGCAATGACTGCAATTGCATTGTGACAAGCACATCGGTGCAAATAGCAATGGCATTAGTCAGCCTCGCAGGGACTGCCACACTTACGCAAACCTCTAAACCAGAGTGCACGAGGAAAGGCTTCTGACATGTAAGATCTGGGAAGGCTGGGAGAAGATCTAAGACTCGCTGGAATGCAGGGAAACCCAAGCTCCCTGGGCAGAGAAGTGCTTTGGGTATAAGCATTTAGCTCTGGCTGCAGAAACCATGGGTTGACGTGTTAGTAGGCTTAGGGAAGCCAGAAAAAAAAAATGGTTTTTGAAGTTTTTTTTTTAAAGTGATTTTAGAATGGGTACATTTCTATGAAAGCATCTAATAAAATGTCAGAAATCACTTCTGGGAGAATGCATTGAAATACTAGGTTCAATATCTGTGTCAGCCCCTGGGCTTGCTTTGTTTGAAAAATGAGGGAGTTTTTAAAAATGATTCATTAAGGTCCCCTTTTAACTCAAAAATGAATGTTACTTTGCTAAGACTTGTTGTGGTTGAGATTTAGATTAATTTTCCAATGGCATGATACCCAAATAATGCTAAGAAAATATATCAATCTTAACTTTCCAAATCTAAAATGATTGGGATATTTTAAAAACCAGATTAAATATCATGGCATCACTTTTAAGTCATAAGCACAGAAAGGTAATTCATGCGTTTTGGTTCAGAGTACCCTAATAACAGTAAATTATCTTTGGTCTGTCTGTAACTTACTGATGAAGTTGGGAATGTAAATTTTAGAATTTAGAGGAATTAGGAATGAGATTAGCACTTTTTAATTTATGAGTACAATGATGACTTATTAGTTGGCGTTTTCAGTGCTTGTTGGTCATTTTGATGTAAAACAAATCCTATGCTTTCCATCAATGTGTTTCATCAATTTGATGTGAAATTGAATGTCTGAAAAACTAAAGTACGAAAATACCCTATGTTGGATGTATCTTCATGGAAAGAGATCCTGGCGGTTAGACTTCTGTTATATATTTCAGCCCCTTTGTTCCCATAAATCTCATTTTTAAAAAAAATAGTTCTAGAGGTCTCTGAACAAATCCTTCTTTGGGTTTGCCATAGCACTGAGACGTACTCACTAGCATAGAAGGAGCAGCCAATTATGCCCATGCTAATGATACTTGCTCATGCTCATGCTGATTCTGTGCTCATTGTGAAGTGTTAGTGCACAAATATATTACATGAGTTAGCCAAAGGTGCTGAGTGCATTTTCCACACAGATACATCCAGAATGACAGTGTCACAATGCTGATGAATATCACAGCACACATCAGTGAGCAAATCAGTAACCCAACAAAAATTACATGTGACAGCCCTCTTTTCCTGCACCTGCAGTGGCCTGTGGGCTCCTAGCTTTACACATCAAACTCATCGCTCCAGTTACTGTCATGTGTGTGTGGTCACTGGTTGCTGCGTCAGTGCCCATTTGTACGTTCTAGGACTTGCTCATCCAGAATGCTCTGAGCCTCGCCGTCCACCACCAATACAAGCGGGAATCGAATGCGTGGCAGTCTCACATCTTTACCACCACAAATTAACTGAAGTGGTTTGTAACTATTTAGAATTCACTTGATGTCTGGATGGTGTCAAAAGAGACTATTCACTGTTTTGAGTGTTGGAGCGAAACCCCCAGTGGTACTCTATTCACTACTGAAGTTCCGTAGCTTTTTATTTATTTATTTATTTATTTTTAACTCTAGAAAGAAAAAAAAAAAATCAGGTGTCTACTCCGGATGCTGGTTCTTTGTCCTTCCTCCTTCTTTAGACAGGTAATTCTGCACCCAGCACAGCGGAGGGGCGCAAAGACTCTGATCAATTATTTTGTGTAGGAGAGAAAAAGAGTACGTCGTGTTTTTTTTGTTTTGTTTTGTTTTGTTTTTTAAGTTGCTGAATGCCCATAAGAAAATGCTGCTAGCCCCATTTTAGACTACTTAAAAGTCTCACTTCACTCTGCTGGGGACCTTCGGCTGCTTTCTAGGATCATACCAGGTGCCCTAGATTGTTCTGGTTCCCTAGTCCCAAAGTCCCTGGCCACAGCTCGTGTTCCAATGTGGGGAGCCTAGATCCGCGCCTGGCCGCCCAGAGTCGGGTGGGGGAGAAGCTTCTGGCGGGTTCCCAGCTTCTCCCCGCTGTTTGACTCTGACCTGCAGATGGAAATGTCCAGGGAGCGCTGACATTCCCACACAGACCTTCTGTAACCAGGTGTGTTGTTTATTCATAGCCGGCCTACTCCAGCCTGGCTCTTGAATGTTGCCTAAATGAAAACGGGTTTTCTTGAAAAATGTTTCCCCTAAGTACGATTTCCTAGAGGAAAACAGGCTGTGGGCAGAGCCCGTTGATTCAGCAAATCCAAATCCGTTTGGCATGGCCGCCAAGCCTCCAAGAAGAGTTGTTCCACTTGACCGTGGGCCATGTTGCAGATGGCACTTAGCTCAAGAACACCGACCTGAAGGCCCCATCTGCATTTATAGGGCTGCAATAAATTGTACTTCCACTCTCAAACCCGGCTCAGCCTCTTTTGGAGGGGGGGGACAACCTCCTCCAAACATCTGGTACCTTCTACAACTTTATAGACTGTGAGAACTCGGGGAAAGAAAAAAGGGGTGTGTGGGGGGGACGCGAGGGGTGGTAAGACAAAGACAGGCATTCTCTTTTGTTCTGTAATATTTTTGATGATTAAATGCTACAAACCACCGATGTCTGCCTCTGTAAGGCAAAATGATCCCTATCATCTCATGAAAGGGAGACTTCCTTTGAGTGTTTTTGTACCAAAGGAGCCTGATATTTTAGGCTACCTCAGTTAGGGAGACCCTGATAATCTTCTATTAATTCATCTCACTATGCTGAGTATACTACACAGTCTTTGCCCTCTAGGAATTTAATGTAGTTAAAATTAATTATGATCAACTGTGATAAAGTGTTAGAAAAATAGAAGCAGGGGGTGCTAAGTGTCTCCTCAGCGAGGGGACTTAGTACTGGGGGAGTCAGAGAGCCTTACTGGAGTAAGAATAGAACAAAATGATAAATAAGACAGTATTAAATTAACGTTGTCAAACATAATTGATGCTGAGAATCATAACTGATTTAAGTGTTCCAAAATACATCCTGAATATTTGCAAGTACAGGTGACCATTGCAGTCAGTCCGGCACAATTTATCAGTGGTTTTTAGCTACTCGTCTTACTTTTGACTCATGTTATGATCAAGTCTTACTCCCACTGGCACTGATACAGTTTGGGGAGAGTTTGTCAATTTTCATCCAGAAAGGTTGAGTTCCTAGGTCTGTAGATGTTCTCCAATGTTGGGGTGTTAGAAGACAGCATGACACAACTTGTAATTATTTTTATTATTGTACCATTATTTCACACTCGTGCTGTGTCTGGACAGTATGGAATGTCTCTACTTCTCCCCTGGTGTTGTGACCCTCCTTCTCCTCCATAGCACCCACAGTCCACCGTGGCAGTTCCCCCCCCATCCCATTCTCCCATTTTTACTGCTCTGCTTTAGTTTGTATTTTTTAGTTAGGATGTAGGCACTCACAGGCAAGACAAATCAATAGTTCTTCCTCCTTTCCAAAGTAGCCAGCCAACTCTGCAGTTGGGTAGTGCCCATTCATTCTTTCATTTATTCATTAATCCAATACACATTTTTTGAGGATCTAGTGTAGCCTTTGCTCTGGCTTAAACATCAGGACAGAAGAGATAAGACTCTGCCTACTAAAAACAGTTCAACATACATCCTCTGAGTGGAGTAAACGAACACAACTAGATAGAGAAATGGCAGGAAATGTTGTAAGAGGCTGTTCTCTTTTACTTTGTACGTCTACTCTTTTAATGGAAGAATGACTAATTCAGTAATTTAAAAAGCACATATCCCTGTTGTTAATGGAATCCATGAGTGCAGGGATGGCAGAAACAAATCAGATAATGAACCTGGTTCTTTCCTTGTGACAGCTGCTATCAAGTTGTAAATTACAGCCAGCTGCAGGGAAGCTGGGTTAGGTCAGTCAGATGACTGGTGTCACGCAATCAGTGGCTACTTTGGTGCCCAAAGGACTTTTTAAGACCTACGAGACTTGTTTATCCTGAAGGGTTTTAACATATTCACAACTTTTTTTATGTTTGGAGAAAATGATGCTCGATAAACATTTACTGTTTCTAATGAATAAGCTTGGATTTTCTTTTTAT